ACCTACACCTGATGTGTAAACTGTATTTATTTTAAACGCTAACAAGTAACAGCTTTACAAGGATTGTTAAAAAAAAATCACTCTAGGTCTAATTGTTAGTGAAGTATATAGGTACTTTYAAAGAATGATAACAATTATTACTTTCCAAATATTATTTTTAATGAACATTTCGTTTCTCGATACTAAATATCATGTCAAAATATATTAATGAAAAAAAATAATAGCGAGGAAAGCGTCACAATTAATTAAAAGCAATTGTTTCGAATTAAAAACTTTTTTTTATTGCACAATTTATCTGTCCATAAATTATAAACATACCTATTAAGAATTAAGCAAGTTTTATGATGTATTGAAGTGCATGAAAAAAGACAGAATGGAGAAGTTAATATGATACMTCAGATATCTAAGATCTTAAAGGAGGAAGTGAAGAACGTATATTGTATATTAATTTAAAATATTAATAATTACCTATTAACTATCAAGTATCAATTATAAGTAATTATTTTTCCACTAGATATAATAGTAAGTACATACCTATTATATTTATATAACATCTAACACCATAATAACTGATAAAAATTAGGAAGTAGTATAGGAACTAAGTATTTAAAATAATAGGTACCTACATGCTTTTGTTATGTAAGTACCTAAATTAAACTCAYATCATTGTAGATGTACTACTCATTGTGTATAGAATGCAATACTATTATACCTAATTAGGTAGGTAATATTATAAACTCAAATTAATCAAATTATTATACTAATGTTTGCATAGTTGCATTAGATAAGTAGTTATCTACCTACTTTCTGATATTAATACCCATATGATACCAATAAATTAAAAAGTTAGATTGAATCATGTATAAGGCCATTATTGGTACATAAAGCCCGTATAGGTAAGAACTCTACCTAGCAATAGCTGTAGATAATACATTTTAATATGTACAATATGATATATGAAGTAGGTACCATGTATTCGATAACACAATATATATTATTTAGTAAGATAATATTTTATTATAAATATATTATAAATAAATAAAGTATTAGGTGCCTAATAACTAATAATTTAATTGTTATATAGGTAATTAGTACTAATTAAATATTAAATTAAATTTCAAATACATGARATAGCAGGTAAGTRCGAATATCAAATTAATAAAATAAAATCGCAAATGATGAAAAGCTTGAAATTTATACATTATCTCTTTAAAGTATAATTTTATACAATAATTATATTATAGGTAATCTATTGAATTTGCATTGTCGACCTACATATTATAATTATTATAGACCAATAGGTCAAAAGTCTATGTGATTTTTTTTCAAGAGTTTTTTCGTTTAAAAATAATTATGACAAGGCACGAAGGCACTAAGTATAAGTAGTAGGTAATTAAGGAACAATAACAATAGATTCGCTCCACTCTGTCTGGGATCTTTAATAGGAAATCGATTCGTTATAAACAGTTTGCGTAAGTATGACTATCGTTAGATTGTTTAAAAATGTTTAGATAGGTACTTAGAGGTTATATATATATTACTATCTCCTATATAGTTATAATTAGAATGATATAAGATTATAATTATGATTATCATAATAACTATAATAAGACATATTCGTGAATTATGATGATCAACAGCTCCGGATTGGGTAGTTTCGATCCTTCGATAAATATTTTTCAATCGACCCTTGATTTGCTAAAGTAGTCCACATTGGACGAATTTTAATATTAATAAATACTAATGACCTTATCATGTTTATTGACTGTATAATACTGTACACTACTACACTATTATATACCTTTCATTAAAATCGTTACGTGGGCATTGTGACAAATTTATCGTACAAGTCAGTCTAAAATATTAGTGGCCCTCGAGATTTTCTCGATGCTTGACTGACCGATCCGGGCTTGTGATCAAACTATAAATGTAACAAAAAGTAATTTTCTTCAGACTTATCAAGAAATTTCTAACATAAATTYATGTGATTACTAATTAGATACTGCCCAGTAACTGGATAGTTGATATTGTTGATATGTAAAGACAAAAAAACAAAAGAAGATAAAGGTTATTATTTTGTTAAGTATGACAAGTGTGTATGTAGTAGTAGTAGTAGTAGTAGTAGTAGTAGTATATTTATATAATTGTCGTATGAAAATATTTCAAAAATAATATTATGTACATGTCTATTCGCCATTCGGTTAACCGTCTTAATGCCTGCAGTCTCGATAGTGATGGTTTATCAAATTTCTTCTGTATTACAATTTTGTAAGGATAACTAACAAACATTCAAAAAGGTGAAAATGAAGATACTATAAAATTGTATAATAGACAAAAATCCACGCTTTACTCATAAGTCGTAACCCATTATTTGTACTTATAATAAACAATATTAACACATTTACATATATATAATAAATAATATATATCATTCATGTGTAACTTTGATATGGTCGTTAACGTTGCACTTGTTGACAATAGGTCAAAGTCTTCATCGTTCAACACACACGATGCATAAATGAGTCTCAGTCCTTAGACACAGTAATACTGTTATTCTGCAGATTCTATTCAAATTTATTTTCTTTGAATTGTTAGAAAATATTATCTTGCGTACCTATATTTTTACTTTGTTTGTATAGGTGGATTATATTTTTCAATTACGATTTAAGAAAGTTTATAAGTGACTTTAATGCTTTAATTATATAAAACTACAGTCTACAAAATGAATAGGTAGCTAGTACATATATGTATTAGAATTGAGTAAATAAATTATATACTTTATGCTTTAGTCTCTCAAAAATCTTAGAGTTTTGGATTGATAGTTTTGTATTCTAGTGATGTTAGTAAATTTAGCTGACCCCCAGAGCTGTATACCATAGACCAAAATTGGTTTAAGTAGCATTTTGTATATAAGGTGCTTGTTGTATAGATGAATATGTTTAGAGGTCCATAAGTGTCGCAGCCGGAGCTAGGATCATTGAGCGTTAAACGTTTGGAGCGTACCCATATGAGAAGCCCATGTGAGCYAGCGGTCTAGGGCTTTTTTATATATTAAAGTTAAAAAATAGCTCGTAGATTTAGAATTTGTGATATCAAATACCGAATTTTTTCGTAATTTACATATATGTAGGGGCTGGAGCTGCTTAAGCCCAATAAACTAAATTATGTGAGACGTTTAAGCTGCACTGTATCTAGGGCCTTAAATAGAATTTTAATTTTTAAACAAGTTATGATTCTTTTAGAATTGAAAATTTTAACTGTTACCTATCTATAGTAAAATCATTTCAAATTTGGAAAATTTAARTTAGAAATAGTAAACAACAGTATATAGGTAATGTAAATTGTAAAACCTATTCTTAAATTCCTGAAAAAAAAAACAATTATATAAAAAATGTATAGGTATTCTTAGCGACTGTATATAACTGTATAAGGTACATATATCTATGTGAATGTGAATGTGATAACAGATAATGAATGAATAACAGTAAAAATATATGCCTGTACTTTGTACTATATTACTAGGTATTATAATATCCTAGTGGCATCCTAATTATTCTATTATACCATACCTAAATATTATAATACGCATGTATATATACTATATAGTTATTACTTTATAAGTTAGAAAGAAAAAAAGGTCTCAGGGAAAACAATTATGTTACCAAAATATTATGATAACAAAAGGTATACCTACCAATATTATAATGCTATACTGAAAATATGACTTTGACTTACCTCTACGATCGTGTATTTGGTACACCGCAGCTTCCGGTTTGATCGCATAGGCAAATTCGCTCTTTTTGGAGTTCGTAAACATTTATGTATTTATTTGGCACAGACATAAAACAAAGAATATAAAGTGTTCACTATTGTAACGACGTTTTAATACTAACCGAATAACGTATGAATACGTCAGTCATGAAAATCTCTGGACCGTGCCGTAGTGGAGTCTTCACAGTCCAGCARCATGGTAAATGGTAATTATATACAAAATATAGGAGGAAAAAACCTAATTTTTATTTGAATAGAGAAAGAGAAAGGACTATATTATAGCGAACATAATATTATAGAGAATAAGAGAATATATTAGGGTCAAGAAGCTAAACGCTAATTAAATTGCTGCCCTTAATTTGTTTCCAAACAACTCGATCATCTGTTATACGTGTTTTTCAGTATTCGAAGAATTCAGTATTTTATTTTTATATTACCATAAAATCAGTCATCCATGATCCATTACTATTATTATAGTTAATAGTACGCTCTATTGACCCACTGTATACATAATAAAAAATAGGTAATGGTCAGTCGGTTTGCTTTAGATGAATTACGTTTAATAGATGATTGAAATACAGTTTTCAAAATAAAGAATAATATTTTTTTTAACTCGAGTCTTGAGTCACTGAATGATATATATATATATATAATATACCTTCCAATAATCATAAAATATATAAATGCAAGATTCAAATTGAAAAAACGTATTACATTTTACAATAGGTAAGTACCTTTAAGAGCAGCAATATTGTTATAGTCAAATTCGGCATATTTCATATAATTATACTCTTAAGTACGTAAAATAGAAAACTCACAAAAATAACGAATTTTAAATACGTTTTTTGTGTATACCTACAACCTACTAAATAGGTTGAGTACATTGTATAACTATTCTATTGAGGTAACGCAATGATCATACGGCTCGCGGCTCAAAAATAAAAATGATTACTCAATTAACGGAGCATAATATACACACGCTCGAACGAAATGGCAGGCTTGCTGTACAACTGTAAAAAAAAGCATGCTTTATGAGGATACAACAATAATTGTGATATAATATACTCATATGAAGTGATGTCTAATGAGAGTTATATAAAATAGATCAGCAAGATTAAAACAAGTAACTTAAAAAAAATTAAGATWTTATATTTTTGTAGTGAGTAATGAATACCCTTAGTATCGAAAGCAATTTCTTTGTCAAAGTTTCAAACCATTGCTTGTAAAAATAAAAATTAGCTCAATTAGTTTAATTATTACATAAGACATAATATAAAACTTGTAACGAGACCCATTATTATGACAAAAAATAATAATAAGTATAAATCTGTACCTACGTAATAATAGGTACCTATACCATATTTTAGACATTTAGTATTAGTAATTAGTATACTCGATGCGGTGGTAYTCTAATACGTTATAACTACGTACCTACATTTGAAATGTTGACCATGCAAATACGTGATGGTTAACGGTATGTACAGTAGCTGGTATACTATTATGGTATGTACGCGGTCGGGTGTAGCTCTTTAGTTACCACTCTTGGTTCGRTCGTTAACCCAGGAGATAATAAAGATACGATCGTACGCGGTCTCGTCAACCAAGAACGCACGGWATATGGTCATCAAAACATAATATACTAATACCAGTAATACCGTCAACAATGTGATTTTTGTGCGTCAAATGTTTTCATGGTGCCCCGATGAAACTTAAGCATAAAACAGGGCAGGCCCGGATAGGCCAGTTAAGCATTTGAGAAAATTTCRAAGGACCGCTAAAATGTTGKACTGATATGAAAAATTTACCGCAATATACCAACGTTACGATTTTAATGACAGCCAGCTGCGTAACTAGCAGCAAGTGTTTGGGGTAGCAAACACTTTTATGCGCTTCACCTTCTCCAATAAGCATAATAGTAGCACTTACGCAAAAYTTTCTMCTAAATAATTCTGAAATAATCATTATACTTACAGTTGTTTTATAACACGAAAATTCACAAAAATAACGTATTTTTTCTTGATAACTGTTTAAAGATAAAAAAATAGTAAATACACACTGACGCAGAATTTTTTTTATGAAATTATATAAATAATTTTGTGGTAGCAAAATGATACTTTTGCGACCCCATAAAAAATTTTGTGGTCACGACCGCTACCCCATAGTTACGCCACTGATGACAGCTATATAATGGTATACAGTCAACAAACGTGATAAGGTCATTATTATTTATTAACACTAAAATTCGTCCAATATGGGCTATTCTATGGCAAATTACGGGCCGATTGAAAAATATTTCTCGGAARGCCGAGACTACCCAATCCGGCCATGAAAAAGGGTCACCATTTCTATATGGCCACGCGTGACAGCGTGACCCACGCAATGGCAATCGGAGAGACGAAGACCATCATGGRGGCGYGGCGCATGGTGGCACCAGAAAGTTCGTGTGCAATTGCATCTGCAACATTTTTTTGGTCGGATTCATTGGTCTGTGGGCATTGCATTGTTGGTGCAAGTCATAGCCGCTTAGTCACCGTCGGCGGTTAGCTGGGATGATTATTTATATAAATACATTAAATGTGAACCTGAACCAATTTTTCCATTAGATAATTACTTTGTATCCGGTTAACAGCAACTATATATAGGCGCACAATCACAAAACATATTATAACGGTCACTGTAGTAACAATAAATAGGCAATAACACAGCAATTTAGATGYAGTGTATCATTTAGGCATCACAGTCGACAATATTGGCTGTTCAAAATGAATTTGGCCGCTTATAAAAAAGTGAGCCGCTTTATGCTGAATCTATGCGATTAAAGTCTACTCACGTAGTCACGTCTATACAGTWTTATGCAGTGAACCAATAAAATGAAGGMTCTGAATATGATTTAGACCAACGTGTAATTGAATTCTAACTATTAATTTTATTAACATTACCTTCTGTATCTGAYTATTTTCATACACACGTCTGGGAGGGGGTAGTTGGGTTTTMAACCTCCTTTAGTCTTTTTTGCTATACCTATGTATAGATATATCAAAATAAATACAATTTAAAAATTGTTTAGATATAATATGCATATAATTTTCTATAACCTCTATTACCCCTTATTAAAATAACTATGTACCTATGTTTTAAAGTATATATATCAGATAACCTAATTAAAATTAAACTTAGTAATATTATTATTATTATTAATAATTTTTTGTGTACAAACGATAGCAACTAAAATAGGTACCTTGCATTCCACCTGTAGCGTCTAGGTCAACCCCTATTTTTGRCAAAAATTCGTACTACACATCTTTTAATGTACCATAAAATAATACAGAACCATGGGGGGCTAAAAAAATTTTATTTTTWAAAAATGTGTATAATGTATTCTGTACTACCTATTACTATAATCTAGCACAGAGGTATTCAAACTTTTTCAGCACGCGGCTCCTTTGGGTGTTCACAATATGTGAGATATGTTATATGGGTGATAATAACAGTGACTTTAGTACTAGAAATAAAACTTAAAATGTTCGAATCGTAAGGTGTGTCGTTTTCATTTCAATAATGATTGCAGAWAATATTTATAATAATTATACAGGACCTAGGTATGATGTTGGTTTTCGGTGCTTTGACGCGGCTCCCTTTGCAAACTCTCGCGACTCCCCTGGGAGCCGCGACGCACAGTTTGAATACCTCTGATCTAGCAAGTAGTCTTATTTATTAGTATTTAGTATATTTGGTAATCGTAAAAAAAATCCCCGGGAAAAAAAAATCCYCGACCCTAAGAAAAAAAATCCCCAGACTACAATATTACTCACAACCTCATTCACAAATATTTTTTAACGTTAATTGATATCTATATAATTACCACATTTTTAATATTTAATTACAAATACGTATATTATATTATACTATATTATTATATTATATCATTCAATAAATTAATATAGTTGTTAGAAAAACAGTTTTTATTAAAAAATGATATTTTTAAATATTTTTTATCCTTAAATTTTAACTAAAAATATCTATAAAAAATACCGAGTACCTATAGTAGTCCCATAGAGTATTTTAGAG